GGGGGGGGGCAAAGCAGAGCCAAGCCGCGGAGTGCGTGGGCAGCGGACAGCCCTGTCCGCTGCCCACGTGTTCCGCCGCTTTGCTTCCTCTCCCTGGTCTGCTGGAGACCAGGGAGAGGAACGGCCCCGTTCGTAACTGCGGATCTGACATAAGTCGGATCCGCGTAACTCGGGGACTGCTTGTACTTACGCTTCAGTGGTTACTGCTCTTTAGAAGTGCCTGCTTTGACTTTGTCCCCTATAGTGAGGGTTGGTTGGGTGAGGGGGAGCTGTAGGAGTCAAGGCAGGGGACACTGGGTATGTGGGGGAGGGCTGGGGCTGTGTAGGAAAGTTTCAGGTGTGGGGGAGGGCAGAAGGCTGGGTGTGTGTGCAGGAGACAAGGTGAGGGTCTGGGGGACATGTAGGGGAAGGGGCAAATGTGTGTGTATGTGTGTGTGTGGGGGGGAGCCCTTTCCTGCTGCCCCAAGGGAGCTGTGGGCCATCTGTGTAAAAGGGCACTGTTGCTGGCAAACTGGCAGCAGTGTGAAACCTGCCCCCCTCAGCTTTTTCCCAGTGGCTGCTGGCCACAGCGCATGCCAGGGACAGCACATAGATTGCTCAGCATGCAGGCTCTGTTTAAACAGCCAGTCCCTGCTGTGCTTTATAGAAGACAATTTGTCCATTTTTTAAAAAAAAGGTGGCTGCCTTCCAGGGCTAAAAGAAGGGACTCTCCTGTTAAAAACAGGATGGGTGGTCACCCCACTGTTCAGTCTCTGACAGCCTGCTACCATGGCCCAATAAAGCTCCCTGCCATTGGAGGAAAAAGGGGCAGGTCTTTCTGCTGAGTTAGCTCATTAACAAGTACACAGCTGTTTCACAAGTGTTAGTTCGGATGTAGACTGACTAAAATATAAGCCTGGTGTGAGAAATGATGACTCCCGGAGACACCACAGCTTCAGCTACCTCGCCCAGGCCATGCTCCCTTTCCATGCAGTGGGTGAAACCAGCCTTCCTGCTTTGAGCATTAGCCAGCATTGTTGGGGGAATGGGAGGAGGAGCAGGCCACCAAATAGTCTAAAACCATTCACGCCGGCCTCCGGCTAGCAGCCACACAGTCATGCTGAGATTGTCACACAGTGGACTGCAGCATAAGGTACCTAGTTTTCATGCTTCTAAGCCACACTATTTGCTCACTTACCTGCCTGAGGCCCTTGAGGTGCTTGCCAGAATGGCATTCAATGTTCCACAGACCATCTGGCTGCTTTGTTACGCAATTCCTGAAATCTCCACTACATAGGTTGGGAGTAGCCCTAGTAAGATGTTTGGAAAAAAGGCACTTGGTGCGTCAGTTTGCATAACCTGGTCAGTAATGACCTCTAAAAGATGATCAGTCAGGCTGCAGCTGTGAGAGCACGTGGGGAGTCCCTGCCAAAGTATCCTTGTGGGAGTTCTTGT